TATGAATGTGTATAAATGTGTATGATTGTGTATAAAAATGTATATGAATGTGTGTAAATGTGTATGAATGTGTATGAATGTGTATAAAAATGTTTATGAATGTGTGTAAATGTGTATGAATGTGTATAAATGTGTATGAATGTGTATGAATGTGTCTGAATGTGTATAAAAATGTATATGAATGTGTATAAATGTGTATGAATGTGTATGAATGTGTATAAATGTGTCTGAATGTGTATGAATGTGTATGGATGTGTACTAATGTGTCTGAATGCGTATGGATGTGTATAAATGTGTATAAAAATGTGTGTAAATGTGTCTGAATGTGTATAAATGTGTATGAATGTGTCTGAATGCGTATGAATGCGTATAAAAATGTGTATAAATGTGTATGAATGTGTATGAATGAATGTGTATAAATGTGTATAAATGTGTATGAATGTGTATAAATGTGTATAAATGTGTATGAGTGTGTATGAATATGTATAAATGTGTATGAATATGTATGAATGTGTATGAATGTGTATGAATATGTATGAATATGTATAAATGTGTATGAATATGTATGAATGTGTATGAATGTGTATAAATGTGTATGAATGTGTATGAATGTGTATTTATGTGTATGAATGTGTATGAATGTGTATGAATGAATGTGTATAAAAATGTGTATGAATATGTATAAATGTGTATAAATGTGTATGAATGTGTATAAAAATGTGTATGAATGTGTATGAATGTGTATAAATGTGTATGATTGTGTATAAAAATGTATATGAATGTGTGTAAATGTGTATGAATGTGTATGAATGTGTATTTATGTGTCTGAATGCGTATGAATGTGTATAAAAATGTGGATAAATATGTCTGAATGTGTATAAATGTGTATAACTGTGTGTGAATGTGTATAAATGTGTATGAATGTGTATGAATGTATATGAATATGTATAAATATGTATGAATGTGTATAAATGAATGTGTATAAATGTGTATGAATGTGTCTGAAAGTGTATAAATGTGTATAACTGTGTGAATGTGTATAAATGTGTATGAATGTATATGAATATGTATAAATGTGTGTGAATGTGTATGAATGAATGTGGATAAATGTGTATAAATGTGTATGAGTATGTATGAATGTGTATGAATGTGTATTTATGTGTCTGAATGCGTATAAAAATGTGTGTAAATATGTATGAATGTGTATGAATATATATGAATATGTATAAATGTGTAGGAATGTGTATAAAAATGTGTATAAATGTGTATGAGTATGTATGAATGTGTATAAATGTGTATGAATATGTATAAATGTGTGTAAATATGTATGAATGTGTATGAATATGTATAAATGTGTATAAAATTGTGTATGAATATGTATGAATGTGTATGAATGTGTTTAAAAATGTGTATAAAATTGTGTATGAATATGTATGAATGTGTATGAATGTGTTTAAAAATGTGTATAAAATTGTGTATAAATATGTATGAATGTGTATGAATGTGTATGAATGTGTTTAAAAATGTGTATAAAATTGTGTATGAATATGTATGAATGTGTATGAATGTGTTTAAAAATGTGTATAAAATTGTGTATAAATATGTATGAATGTGTATGAATGTGTATGAATGTGTTTAAAAATGTGTATAAAATTGTGTATGAATGTGTATGAATGTGTATGAATGTGTTTAAAAATGTGTATAAAATTGTGTATAAATATGTATGAATGTGTATGAGTATGTATAGATGTGTATGAATATGAATGTGTGTGAATGTGTATAAAAATGTGTATAAATGACATCCACAGCTTCACCTCTGAACCCCACCAGCTCTATTAAAGAGAGTGAAACAGTGTCATTGGAGAGCACATGTTGTGTCTGCAGGACAGACGAGGATTTAAAGTTATCAACATGTCTGTCACACGTCTGAGACACGTTGTGTGTTTATTCTCACACTCTGAGTCCTCAGTATGTTTGTGGTCGTCCTGGCAGGTGGCGGCGTCCTGCTGGTGGAAGCCATGCTGTTTGAGAACAGACGAGGGCCCATCATGACTCAGATCTTCTCCCTCAACATGCTGGTGCAGGCGGAGGGACGGGAGCGCCCGCCGTCCGAGTACACACGCATCCTCAACAAGACCGGCTTCCACAACATCCAGTTGTGCCGCACGGGCAAGTCTTACGATGCCATCCTGGCCATCAGATGAGCTGGAGACAGGTGGGAGAAGGAAGTGCTGGAGACAGGTGGGAGGAGTCTCAGAGGAAGTACAGGAACTTTTCAAAGACTTGAGAGGGTTTGTAGGATGACATGATCTGATCAACTCTGAACACCAAAATGTTTCCTGTCTCAGAGTTGACGGAGCTCCAGTTTCCTTTGTGACGACACGTCAGCCTGTTTTTATCGTATCTCCCCGACAGACGTTTCTCTGGACCGAAGCTGCTGCAGGAAGTTTCTGATCAGTGTCTGAAACACATCTGTGGAAACAAACAGAAACTCTTCAGGGTCAAAGAAAAGTTTTAGGAAATACTCTGATTCCAACTGACAGCCAGCAACACGTTAGCTTAGCTTAGCTCAGTTTTGCATAACGACTGGAAACAGGTAGAAACAGTGAGCCTGGCTCCATCTAAAATCAGCCCACCACCCAGCCTACATCTGTATGTGGGGCTCTTATATGAGACTGTCCACAGAATCCATATTGACCCCACACAGGTGTTTTCACCCAGGTGGGCTCCACGTCAGTACTGCTGGAGCTGCCTGGGTAGCAACAGTGATGGGCCCAAAATGGACGTCTTATCTGGGGCTCACCTGGGTAAACAAACCGATGTGGGGTCAGTATGGAGCCTGTGGACAGTCCCACACAGGGGCCCCTTATTCAGCCCACATGGGCCCCACATACAGATGTTGGCTGGGCTGCACATCTAAACATCACTAACATTTTATATGTCTTTGTTAATATGCACAAAAACCAAAGTGTAAAAATGTCAGTTATCTGAACAAGTTTAAAGATGCACTGATGAGACGGGGGGTCAGAGTAGTTGGGGGTTTGATGCTTTGCTCAGAGGCACCTCAGCAGCCCCAGGATCCTGAGCCGTCAGCTCTCTGGCTCCCAGTCCACATCCAGTGTTTGGTCCATTCAGGGACTTGAACTTGTGAGTCTCCTCAGACTGAGCTGCCGCCGCCCCGGGCTGTGAGCTTCAGACTGACCTCGTTTTAAAAACAGAGAACGATGATTTACTGTGACGGGTTTGTTTTTGTGACTGAACTGAATCATGATTCATATACACAGTCTGATCTTTGTAACCATCATCACTATCTGTGAAGCAGCAGAGACAGGGAAACTAAAAAGCAACCAGAGTCTTTATTTAGTAGCTTTTAAGAAACAGAGATGTGTCTCAGCATGAACTAATCTCAGTGTACAAACACTAGGCAGACCTGTGTGATCCTGGTGCACAGACTGACCCAGGTGTGTCTGACCCTCTGTTAATGACAGATATCTGTGAGACAGACAAAGATGAAAAAGAGAAAAAGACAATATTATAACCTAAAATAAATCCGATCTCACCAGACTAAAATCTCAGAACCACAGATTCACTCTTGAGTTTTTACACCTGTGTTCAGGTGAGAGTCTCACCAGGGGCAGGATGTCTGTCCGTCTGTCCCATTCTCGTCAACAGATGTCAAGAACGGCTCGAGGGAGTTTCATTCAATTTGGCACAAACGTCCACTCTGACTGTAGAATGAACTGATGAGAATTTTCTATCCAAAAGGTCAAAGGTCAGCTTGACTGCGACATCATCATGTTTTAACGTCATATCTCAGGAACAGAAGTGGAGACATTTGGTCAGATGCTGAATTGGTGACTCTAATCTTGAAACTGTGCTGATTGTATAGATCTTCTGTGTGTGAAGCGTCCATGTTTTCACTGACATGGATGGAGACTGTCAGAGACACTGGACTGGTGGGTGGAGTCATACAACCACAGGGTGGACTGGTGGGCGGAGTCATACGACCACAGGGTGGCCTGGTGGGCGGAGTCATACGACCACAGGGTGGCCTGGTGGGCGGAGTCATACAACCACAGGGTGGACTGGTGGGCGGAGTCATACAACCACAGGGTGGACTGGTGGGCGGAGTCATACAACCACAGGGGTGGTGACTCTTGTTCAGTCTGAGTAGTGTTTTCATGTGATGAGGTCAGCGTTCTGCTTTATGTTTATCAGACTTTAACACTCCTCTGAAGATTAATTATAAACACTGATTTATATCTGAGCTGACGAACATGTTGTGTGTTGTGATGTTGTGTTTAATGTGTGACTGTGTTGACTATGATGAGTTCAGGTTCCCTCTCAGACTGCATGTAAATCAGACACTCAGTTTGCCTCCACCATCCCTCTGCTGCTGTTACAAAGAAGAATCACTGCAGTGCTGTTGTTTTTATTTATGTTTGTTTGTTTGTTTGTTACATTTCTGGAACATCACGTGTTTACACATAATCTGAGCTCTGATTGTGTACTGATGATGTCACATCCCGAATACAGAGCAGTGTGAGAGGAGCAGGAGACACTTTAGCGTTAGTGATGTGTGTGACAGACGAGGTGTGAATGATTATTTTGTGTCCTCTGACTGTTCCACGTCACCAGCATGAATCCTGCACATTCAGTCACACACCGACATCTTCTTTCTTCTTTGTAAAAGGTTCATGTTTATAGAAATGAATAATTAAAACTATGCATGTGTAGACGACCCCCAGGTGACTGATTCTGAAGATGCAGCTCTGTTATTGATGCAGTTTTCCTCCACATGTAACTTTACATATTAAACACTTTATTAAAAACAATCAGGAACATACTACATCTGTTTTATCGCTGTCTTTAAAGCTGTCTGTGACTTTATTCTGCACCGATCCTTCCTGACCCTTCTGACATTAAAGGAAACGACCACTTCCATTTTATTCTCCATTTATTTTCACATATTTTAAAAAGAAGAATTACAATCATACTCTTCATAAAGCTAAACCTGAAACCTATAAAAAGTAAATACAATCAAACAAAGTGTGACTAAAACATTAGCTTCTACATCACATTTCTATTCCAGCACATGTTTAGGGGGATTTTTATTAATATAGAAAAAGAAAATATGATGATTTGTTTGTTGGTATCGCTGCTTAAAATCATTGTGAAACCCATCAACAGAATATTTAATGAGATTTAATTTTCTTATTTATAGCTTCTAACAGGGGAGAAAAAAGTTGGTATTCAGGGGTTAATGTAAAACCTCTGGACTTATATTTTAAATGATTCAATCTTTTACTGGAGCTTTTCACTACATAATGTAGTGTGTTTATTTATATGAGTGATTTTTACACTGAAATCAACAAAAATGGAATACTGTGAGGCCCGGCCCAGCATCGGCCCAGGAGTGGCCCAGCATTGGCCCAGCATCGGCCCAGCAGCGGCCCTCAGCACGCCGGAAGAAATGAGTCCTGTAAAATATATTTAACTGTAATCTCACAGTTAGAGCCTGTTACATTACTGATATATGACAGAACATTCCTGTAAATGACTGAATTTACATGTGATTACTGTGATTTATCAGTATGCTCCTGTAAAATTATTATATTTACCTGCATAAATTTTACAATAAAATGTGCTTAAATATCACAGTAAAAGCCTGTGAGGTGATAATAATGTCATTTACTGTGAAATATTACAGTTACATATTGTAACTTCCTGGAAATAATTTGCAGTGCAATTGTTTTTACAGTTTAACATTGTCACACAACAACAACCTGTGTAAATAAATAATTCTAATTAACAAATATCTATCTCAGAAAATATAAACCTGTATCAGTATGTAATATTAATGACCAATTACCCATGACTTAGAAATATAAACCAGTCCAAATGTAAAACATACAGTACAGGCCAAAAGTTTGGACACACCTTCTCATTCAATGCGTTTTCTTTATTTTCATGACTATTTACATTGTAGATTCTCACTGAAGGCATCAAAACTATGAATGAACACATGTGGAGTTATGTACTTAACAAAAAAAGGTGAAATAACTGAAAACATGTTTTATATTCTAGTTTCTTCAAAATAGCCACCCTTTGCTCTGATTACTGCTTTGCACACTCTTGGCATTCTCTCCATGAGCTTCAAGAGGTAGTCACCTGAAATGGTTTCCACTTCACAGGTGTGCCTTATCAGGGTTAATTAGTGGAATTTCTTGCTTTATCAATGGGGTTGGGACCATCAGTTGTGTTGTGCAGAAGTCAGGTTAATACACAGCCGACAGCCCTATTGGACAACTGTTAAAATTCATATTATGGCAAGAACCAATCAGCTAACTAAAGAAAAACGAGTGGCCATCATTACTTTAAGAAATGAAGGTCAGTCAGTCCGGAAAATTGCAAAAACTTTAAATGTGTCCCCAAGTGGAGTCGCAAAAACCATCAAGCGCTACAACGAAACTGGCACACATGAGGACCGACCCAGGAAAGGAAGACCAAGAGTCACCTCTGCTTCTGAGGATAAGTTCATCCGAGTCACCAGCCTCAGAAATCGCAAGTTAACAGCAGCTCAGATCAGAGACCAGATGAATGCCACACAGAGTTCTAGCAGCAGACCCATCTCTAGAACAACTGTTAAGAGGAGACTGCGCCAATCAGGCCTTCATGGTCAAATAGCTGCTAGGAAACCACTGCTAAGGAGAGGCAACAAGCAGAAGAGATTTGTTTGGGCCAAGAAACACAAGGAATGGACATTAGACCAGTGGAAATCTGTGCTTTGGTCTGATGAGTCCAAATTTGAGATCTTTGGTTCCAACCGCCGTGTCTTTGTGAGACGCAGAAAAGGTGAACGGATGGATTCCACATGCCTGGTTCCCACTGTGAAGCATGGAGGAGGAGGTGTGATGGTGTGGGGGTGTTTTGCTGGTGACACTGTTGGGGATTTATTCAAAATTGAAGGCACACTGAACCAGCATGGCTACCACAGCATCCTGCAGCGACATGCCATCCCATCCGGTTTGCGTTTAGTTGGACGATCATTTATTTTTCAACAGGACAATGACCCCAAACACACCTCCAGGCTGTGTAAGGGCTATTTGACCAAGAAGGAGAGTGATGGAGTGCTGCGGCAGATGACCTGGCCTCCACAGTCACCGGACCTGAACCCAATCGAGATGGTTTGGGGTGAGCTGGACCGCAGAGTGAAGGCAAAGGGGCCAACAAGTGCTAAACACCTCTGGGAACTCCTTCAAGACTGTTGGAAAACCATTTCAGGTGACTACCTCTTGAAGCTCATGGAGAGAATGCCAAGAGTGTGCAAAGCAGTAATCAGAGCAAAGGGTGGCTATTTTGAAGAAACTAGAATATAAAACATGTTTTCAGTTATTTCACCTTTTTTTGTTAAGTACATAACTCCACATGTGTTCATTCATAGTTTTGATGCCTTCAGTGAGAATCTACAATGATGGTCCAGTATACAGGACCATCATACAGGACTGTATGATGGTCCTGTATGATGTGCCAATATGATGGTTGTTGAGCGGTGTTTCCGGCCCCCTCCAGCGGCGCAGAGGCGCAGCTGCAGCCCGGGCAGGGTCCCCTCCTCCCGGCCGCAGCTCGCTCTCAGCTACGCTGTGTTTGTGTATGTGGAATGCGGGTCAAGCGGAACTCTGAGCTCAAACTGCGCTTCACTTGAGACCCAAAGCCCGGCTCTCCTCGGCCTGACGTGCTCTGTATGTACCCTAACGTTTGTTTTCGGTCCTCCGGGGCTCTGATTCATGTGGTTATAATGCAGAGTGTGTAGTTTAAATGAATATAAGTGTAGTTAGTGTGTGAGCAGTATGGAGGCAGCAGCAGCAGCCCGCTACGAAACATCGTCATTTAAAATGGCGCCAAAGATTAACCTGTGGTAAACCCTCCACACTGAGCCCCGCTGCCCACCAACACACTCCGCTCACACACCGACTGTTTATTAATTAATAATCACAGATCAATAACGTGCCGATGGCAGGGAGTTAGTTTGGTTCTATTATTGACCCTTAACCTTTGACAGTTAGCTGTTTAATGAGGGGGCGCCATACAAGCAACGTTATGTTAGCAACACGAGCTAAAGCTAATGCCAACCACATTACACAGGAGGAGAGTAGCCTCCTGCTAACGAGCTAACGTCAGCTGAATTCACCGTGCACACCTGCCGGTAGAAAACGCTGCATATTGAAGTGTAAACCTGCTGCTATGAACCGGTGTCTCGCTCTGCGGGATGCTAATTAAGCTAACAGGCGTACCGGAGCATTTTGAAAAGTCTTATCATGAACAACATTTGCACCGGAGGCGCCGGGTGTGGGTGGGCCCGCACGTTGCGTAACGGCGGTGGGAAGATTAGCTCCGGCTAACGTTAGTCGGCCAGCATTTTCAGTGTGATTTAAAAAATGCACCGCTGTGTGGTCTGATTTAAAGCTAGCTGCGATCACACCGTAAAAACACAGTAATAGCGTCCTGCGTGTGTCGCTGTGTTGCCGGGGCAACAGTAAACACTAGCTGCTTTAGCCTGCTAGCTACAGTTAGCCGCTAGCTAGTTAGCCGATACGTTGTGGTGCGTGTTTGCTGGAAAAAGGGGCGTCACACTCAAACCAGGGCTAAGCTGCTGTTAGCCTAGCCTGCTAGTTAGGGTTAGCACCTTCCCCCCTGTGCATCCTGCTACACAGCCTGAGATATTTCCACCTGTCCGCAGGTTTTAGAGTTCCTGATGGTGTTGGCTGTCTGTGTTGCATGTTGTCATCATCATCATCATCATCATCATCATCAGTGACTGTGGTATGTACTCATCCTCATCTAACAGGCTGCTGTGCTGTCACATCTGCAGCTGCAGCACTGAGCAGGTTTTACTACTGTGTAACTCTGGTGTTTATAATCAAGGTTTGATTAGAGACACGATGCATCTCCTCAGGTGCCCCATGACTCACCTCCAGGAGCTGCAGGGACCCTGATACTTTCAGGCACCCATTAGCTTACCACACAACACATCCAGACACACACAGGGACAGAGGATAAAAACACACACTCTGTATGCTTTAGCTCTATCACGTTTCCATTACTGTTTTGTGATTTGTGGCTCTAAACAAAGCAGCACGCTGCACGTCACCGTGCTCTCACAGGACTGATGTCAAAGATGTGATGACAGGCTGAGCTGAGCTGAGCTGAGCTGACTGTGAGGCAGAGATTCACCAGCGCTTTGTTAAACTTTGTTATAAATGTACTGGTGACACCATCATTAAAGATGTTCTGTCAAAGGTTATTCTCTACTTTTGCTCATCACAGTTATCGACACGATATGCAACAGAAAAACGGTTCTTGCTACTGAACGCTAAAACAAGTACGATCACGCACAGAGCCACGGTCAGGAGGAAGTTGTGGCCGGTGTATATTGTTCAAGAGAATATTAAGGATCGCATCTTGACTGTGTTGAAACAGCATCTCCAAACATTTCAGGAATTACAAATGAATTGTGATTGTAAATGAACTTATTTATTAAATTAACTTTAAAGTTGATTGTAGATTTTACCAGATTATAAATGTGACAGTGAAAATACATCTGCAGTATCTGATGATTATGTTGTTCACTTAAACAATTAATGTTCCTGTCATCACTATTTGACTGGTCACCAGTTACTTTAATGTGCTGTCATTAGGGTTGTAACGATACATCGATTCGCATCGATACATAGATTCATTGATTAACGATCCGATTATATCGATGCAAAATGAAAACATCGATCCATATCGTCATCTTAAAGATACACATTTATTTTGAAATTCACATAGCACGTCTGTGTCACCATTTCTGGGCAAGTGCGCCTCCGCTCAAACAACAAACAGAGCTCAGAAATAAAATGGTCAAATCATATTCTAGTTGTTTTTGTGAGTTGATGTAAATGATTGTGTTAGATGGGCATATGATATCACGTCATATCGATCGCAGGCTCCTGAATCGAATCGAATCAAAATCGTATTGTGACAGACTTTGTGATATCGGCAAACATCGTATCGTCATCCAAACAAATCAATATAATATCGTATTGTGATGAAGCTGGTGATTTACACCCCTAGCTGTCATCCGTCATTGCAGCTTCTGATAGCTGTCAGTCAATATGTAACTGTAATCACTTGTCAGTCAGCTGTCAATCAGCTGTCATCTGTTTGCAGCTCAGTTGATGTGTCATCCGCTGCGCAGGATGCTGATGTCATTCACATACACTGTAAAACATTACGACAGGAAATACAGAAGGACCTTTTCACAATGTTTATGTGTCAGCCTGTCTCTGTAGTAAATTTGTGACATCACAAGTTGACAGAAATCCTGATGGTTGGTTTAAAGTGTGTGAATATGAAGTGTGTGTGTTTCTGGAAGTGTCTTGATACGTGCACAGTGTTTCTGTAGGAGCACCTGTACCTGCTTTATTTTGGAAAACACATGGAAATGTGACCTTTCAGTGTTTTCAGCAGCAGCTGTGTGTGTCATGATGAGTGTGTGTTTATTCATGGTGGAACTGACTTCATGCTGAATGTTGATCAGCTGTGAGTCCTCAGAAGTTGTTAAACTTATTCTCATGTTTGTCAGGAATTCATCATACTCTTCTTCACTGTCCTGTAAAATCCTGTCTCTGAGCCGGACTTTTTAAATATTCCTCCCAAACTTTTGTTTTTGTTGTTGTTGTTGTGAGCTGTCTGCTCTGTGTTTAGTGTCCTCACGCCGGAGCTCTGCAGACAGACGACAATGAAGAGAAGCAGGCACCCCAGCAGCAGCGATGACTCCGACAATGGAAGTAAGCAAAATATTGTCTCTGCTGACTCACTCGTACTCCGTCCAAATATAGAGCTGAATGAGGTCGAGCACAACTTGTGCCACCTTCCTCAATTTGTACAAGTGAAAGCTGCAGCAGAGGAAACGTCAACTGTCTCCCTGAAATAACCACCTAATATCACTTTGGTTGGAATATGATTATTACATTACGATGATGTTTCAGTGTGGTCACATGTGTAAATGTTACATCATCAGTTTCTGTGTCAGAAAGTGTGTCTTTGTTCTCAGTGTCAGTAAATGTGTGCTCCATGTTCAGGAAGGAAACCCAGTCTGAGAAAAGGAAAGGCGAGCGGCAGATGGACAAAGATTAAGGAAAGGAAAAAGAGGGTCTACAGTCTGAGAGACAGGCGACAGAGTAGGGACACTTGGACCTTTAAAGACATTCCTGCAGGTCAGACAGACGGGCCCAGATCTGACCCCAGTCAACAGCTTTGTTCCATTTGTTTCATCCTCCACAGAGTGTCAGATGGGCAGGGTTTTACCATGTCATATAGAGATGGTTTGGATCTTCTTATCATCCAGTCTGGTATAAAAACTCTGAGCTATCTGAGCTCAGGTCTGATTCAGGGTTTGTGAGACAAACAGTTGATGAATAAAGGACTTCAGGACTCTGAGCTCTGACATGGAGTCATTAAACGACTGCTGCTGCTGTCAGTAACTTTACAGTCAGCCCAAAGTCAAATCAGTGACGAGCAAAGACATGAAACAGAAAACAGAAAATGTCAGGTGCACCATTTTGACTATACAAATCAGCCACACATGTATTTCTAGTTCCTCCTGGGGGTGGGGGGAGAATTCATATGTTTCTGAAGTAGCAGCAGAAACAGGCGAAGAAGAAATCAGATGTTTAAGAGCCTGTTGTGTTTCTCCCTCAGGTAACTCTACCTGCTGGTCCCAACATTCATCACAGCACAGGAGAGGGACCGGACAGAAACCCTCTGAGGTACGTGCGTCTCAACCTGCACAAGGTCCATTTCTGAAAACCCGCCCACACCCATAAAGCTCAGCACCAGAACAGACCCGTTACCTGTCATCATGTCTCAGTCAAAGTTGCACCTGTTAATAAAAGGCCTGTGACCCACACCCGTGATCAAAGCCCCCCAGGCCCCAGTCCCTCACATGAAGCTGGTTCTCCGTCTCTTTGACTGGATGGTGAAAACATTCAATCACTGCCAGGTTAGGAAACATGTTAGCATGCTCCTTCCACCACCATCAAACCTCCAAAGGATCCCAACTCCATGTAGGCTGCCACCTCGTCTCACCTGCTCGTGTGTCGTGCAAAACTGTGTGAAACCTAATTATCATGTCAGAGGAATGAATGAATGAATCCATCACAACTTCACTCTGCTCATTAAAACGATCATAGCTTAAATAAATAATGTACTGAGTTGATGAATTATCTTCTGCGCTCATGTTCAAGCCTGAACACAGGCCTTCTGCAATTAATAGTTTAGTCTGTAAAATGTAAAAGACAAAAATGAAAAATGCTGATGAGAGTTTCCCAAAGTGACGTCTTTTAAAAGCTTCTTATGTCCAACAGACCAAAACTCTTCAGTCGTTGTCGTCAGTGACGCAGAATCAGAGATACTTTATTGATCCCTGAAGGGAAACTGATCGGTTACAGCCGCTCTGATGTGAAGAACAGAGAATTATAAGAAGTAAAAATAAGAGTATGAAACAGAAGTATGTAAATTTAAAGTCATAAATTCAATAAGATATAAATAAAAGATGTGTGTTATGTGACAGTGTTTGACAGCAGTACTTCAGATATTAAGTGTGTCAGAGTATAGTAATATATGCTCCATTAAACCAGTGTTACAGTCAGAAATATAAAATATATATTATTCTGTCATGTTCACTGCAGTAAACACGTCAGTAGGATAAAAACTAGAATAAGAATAAACATAATAAGTATGTACAGTTATGTGCATCGTATGTTGAATAAATATGTACATTCAAAATATGAATGGAAGCAGAACCAGCAAATGTTATTGATATCTGCTAAGAAATGACTGAAAACATTCATTAAAATAATGAATTAATTTCTTTCAGTGGACGTATTAATTCATGGACCGATGCTCTGATTGTGTTTTTATTCATTGTTTCATTAGTATTATTTTTGTTTTGGATCTTTGGGGAAAAACCCAACTGTAAAAACATAAATGAATAATGTTTAATAGATGTGATTCAAGTGTTTGTGAGATGAGCTGACGCCGTGTCGCAGGTTGTGCTCTGGCTCTGTGGGCTGCTCTTATCTACTGTACAGTCTGTGGACTTGGCCCCTGCAGGCCTCTGTACACGCCCTCCCATCAGCAGCCAGTCAGATCAAAACAAAACAATGACTCAGGCCTCAGCTGGATCCTGATTGGCCAGTTTCTGTGATTGTTTTTTTTAAAGCAGTGCAGACACAGATACACAGACACACACACACACACACACACTGAACCCTGAACGTTATAGAGCTTATATGAGCTTGATGACATCATTGATCTAGAGTGGAGTAGAATAAAATAGACATGAAATAAAATCAGTGCACAAATAGACATTAAGTGAAGAGCAGATCGATCTGTCAGCGCCTGTAAGATGAGAACATCTGCAGAGTTACATTTGTTCTCATTCTGCTTTTTCACTGGTGAATATTTGCTCAGAAGATTCAGAGGAGGTTTCAAATCCAAACGTGTCCCCGCTGCACGTCACACTGACTCACTCTGACTCTGGTTTTCATGCTGCAGGTTTTCAGGACCGACCTGATCACCGCCATGAAGGTGCACGACTCGCACCAGCTGAACCCAGAGGACTACTACGTCCTCGCCGACCCGTGGAGGCAGGAGTGGGAGAAGGGCGTCCAGGTTCCCGTCAGCCCTCAGTCCATCCCGCAGCCCGTCGCCAGGTAGGACAGAAGAGAGCGCCATGTGTGATCCTGTGTGTCCCTGAGTGAGACGTCACCCCTCTGCGCGGAGACGTCACCGCTCAGATTAAAGTGACAGGAGGCTTACAGAGCCGCAGTTTAATTTAAATTAGATTTGACGGCTCTCAGTCGGACAGTTTGTGATACATCAAGGACGAAGTTAGAGAAAGATTAAAACACCAAAGCTGTATTTACACGAGTCGTGTCATGTGTTGCCTCCAGCTTGCACTGTTTACCCACCAACAGAAACATGCTAAGTGTTATTTGGACGTGTCAGGTGAAAACTCTGCCCCCTGGTGTTATTACAAAGAGTGTGTCTGTGACCTGCTGCTGGAACACACACACACACACACACACACACACACACACACAATTTGTCTCATTTGTTGTTTGAGTGATAAAAACTGTCAGAGCACAGAAACTGTCTCCTTCATGTGATGACGTCCACGTGTGTGCTAACATTTAACCCTAACCCTGTGAACGCAGCACAAACTAAGGTGACTGTCCCCTGCAGGGTTTTGGCAGAGAAGGGGAAGGAGGTCATGTTCGTCAGACCAAAGAAGTTGATCCGGACGTCGGGCGCCGAGGCGCTGGGCTACGTGGACATCCGAACGCTGGCTGATGGGATGTGCCGCTACGACCTGAACGAGGAGGACGTGGCCTGGATGCAGATCGCCAACGAGGAGTTTTCAGAGATGGGTGAGTCACAGAGCAGAGGGTCGGACTGAGGGTGATGATTAGGGGTGCACCACACATCGATCTGGACTGATTCAAATATGTCACCGACACAAAGTGAAACCATCGATATCATCATCATCATCTTTAACACCCACCTTTATTCCCATGACACGTCGGTGTCACCGCATCAAACACACCTCCTTCTTAAACATTCAAACTTTAATCTGACGGCCAAGAAAAAGACGACAGCATATTTACAGACATTGTCTTGTGTTGATTTTAGACTCCTCAGTTGAATCGAATCAACATTGTGTGGTGGCTTATTGTGAAGTTAACAATATCCTGTCATGTGATGAACCACATCACTTATATTTGATGCTTTTATTATTTAAGAAGAATAACTTTATTCATGCTCAAGGGGAAATTCAGTTATCTGTCAACTCATCTATTATATGTCAAAGAATTATAAAGCCTGATGGGTTTTTATATAAAAAAATAAAAGCAGACAAAACCAAGGACATCAGGGACCTCACAGGTGAAATGCTACACATGAGTGAGGTCACACTGTGGCGTCAGGACTAACGTGTCCTCTTTTCTCCTCCTTTATTGTCATCATACCAACGACATGTCAAAGCTACACGGGACACAGTGACACTACCCTCATCACATCACCAACACATCAGAATGAATAAGTAATAATCAATAATAAGAGGCAGGTGTTGTTATGATGTCACCCAGACTGGGAATGACAATCAGGACAGTTCATGAGGTGTGACGGTCCAGAGAAGGAGACTGTAAGTCAGGCACTGTGACAGAGAACCATGAGCCACTGCGTCCACACGCGTCGTCATCTTCTGTAATGTGACTTTGATTCATGGAGAGCCAGAGGGAGAAATCTTCACTCATTCATCAGCTACAGTTCGTTCTGTGTGTCTGAACACTGACAGGAAGAAAATGAAATAAATATAGAAATAAAAAAATCACTTCGAAGTCAAATCAGATTTTTGTTTTTTCCAATATTTATCACATTTTAGAGACAAACTGAAAACATAAACATCCTGAAGTATTTCTGTCCATTCAGAGTTTGTGTGAGACGCTTCACTCAGACACATCCTTTTGATTTAAAACCTGTTATTAGTATTTCAGATGAACTTTAATGATCATCTCTGGTTTACAGTCAGAGAACAAATCATTTGTCTTCTTGTCTCAGCTTCGCTCCGTCTCCTCATCAGGCTGCAGTCTGTCTTCACATCAGAGTTTTGGGTTCTCAGGGTTCATGGGGAGAGTTTTTATTTTAGGTTTCTGTGACCACGTCTGTGTTTAGATGCTCGTTGTTGTCGCCAGTTAAACTCTCTTCGTGGTGAGATGACTCACTGAGTAAACCTCGCAGTCAGACCTCTAATTACACATGTTGGATAGTAAAGGGTTAAATCCAAAATGGCAGCAGAAAGAAATGAGTGTGTTTTAAATAAACAGCAGTTTAATAAGTGGTGAGATGATGAAACTGTTTTCATGACATCAGAAGAGACTTTGTGACAATAAAATCAGGAAACTTTGTACTTCCTGTTTTTCCAGCCTCGCCGCTGCTGGACGAGATCACCATGGAGCGGGTGATGGAGGAGTTTGAGCGCTGCTGCCACGAAAACATGACGCACGCCATGGAGACGGAGGAGGGGCTGGGCATTGAGTACGATGAGGACGTGGTGTGTGACGTGTGCCAGTCACCTGACGGCGAAGACAACAACGAGATGGTGTTCTGTGACAAGTGCAACATCTGCGTTCACCAGGTCAGAGGTCAACGCACCTTTAACTCACCGTACATCAACAACAAAGAACCAATACGTATTTTTAATGATTAAAATCAGACTTTCACTGTAAAATATAGAATCTGTGAGTTCAGACAGAAGCACAAACGAGTCCCACAGACGTGTTTTATAAAAAGATGTGAAGAGTGAAATCTGAAACATCTGAACTGACCTGACGCGTCTGAGTGATGAAGGTCGCGGCGTCACTGTGGTGAAAATGAAAACGACTCCTCTCACCTGTCAGATCAGATGTAGCTGTAGCTTTATCTGACACACACGCACGCACTCTGTGTGCTGTATCTTCATCCTCCTGCTTTCTGAAGCTGACTCATTCTCTGTGTGTGTGTGTGTGTGTGTGTGTGTGTGTGTCTGTCTCCAGGCGTGTTACGGCATCCAGAAGGTCCCAAAGGGCAGCTGGCTGTGTCGGATCTGCGCCCTTGGCATCCTGCCAAAGTGCCAGTTGTGTCCCAAGAAGGGCGGAGCCATGAAGCCGACCAGAAGTGGAACCAAGTGGGTCCACGTCAGCTGTGCCTTGTGGATTCCAGAGGTGACGATAAACTCCTCCTCTCCACAGTTTATTACAACAAACAGTTTGTGTTTAGATACGTGTCACTTCCTGTTTGTCCTGAACGCTTCCTGTCCTCTGTGTGACCCTGTGATAAATAGGTCAAAGGTCACTCCTGGTTAAATAAGTCACTGAGCAGCTGTGACAGATGATCCATCAGCGGGAATAAAGAATCAATAATCAATAATCAGAGAAGTCGTTCTTCCCTCTGTCTGTGAACGCATCATTTTACTGTATAAAATACAACATGCAGACAGAAGCTGTTTGAGTTTGTCTCCAGCGTCTGAACAAGAACATGAAGTTAACCCTTCGGTCTCTGAGCTCCGTCAGCGCCCACACTGGTGTTTATACTTATTGTGATGTCATTTCTTAAAGTACCTTCAAATACTTGTCATAATCTGTACAGCCTCAGCTCGTCAATAAACCATACATATATATATATATAATAATGTGTATAATGAGCAGAGTGAAGAGGTGTTGTGATGACTCATCATTCATTCCTCAGACCTGACGACATGTTTTCACAGTTTTGTACGACACACAACTGAAGTGTCAGCGCTGCACCAGTCTGAAGGTGCACTGTGATGCTAGAATCATACAATAAAAAGTGCAACTGAACGAAGAATCTTAGTTTTATTTAGGTTAATTCCAAAAGAGAGACTCGTTGGTTTGAGTAGAGCAGCAGTGCTCAGTCTCTGCTTTAGTTTCTACACAAACTTTATCAGCAAAATGTTTCATTTATAATAAAATGTCTTATTTTATTACTCATGAAAGACGCAGAGACTCTGGAGGTTTGATTTCTGCTGGAGCATCAATATGAATGTGTTTGTGCAGGTGAGCATCGGGAATCCAGAGAAGATGGAGCCGATCACCAACGTGTCGCACATCCCCAGTAACAGATGGGCTCTGATCTGCTGCCTGTGTAAAGAGAAGACTGGAGCGTGTATACAGGTAGAGTCGCCGCTCACCTTTCACCGCCGCCACGGCGTCTAATGAGACGTGACGAGCAACGCTTCACCCAGCGTGTTAGGAAAACCCTCAGGGTGGAGGAGAGGAGAGTGATGGAGGGAGGAGAGGAGAGTGATGGAGGGAGGAGAGGGGAGTGATGGAGGGAGGAGAGGAGAGTGATGGAGGGAGGAGAGGAGAGTGATGGAGGGAGGAGAGGGGAGTGATGGAGGGAGGAGAGGAGAGTGATGGAGGGAGGAGAGGGGACAAGACGGGAGGGGAGGGGAGTGGAGGAAATGAGAGGAGAGCAGAGTGATGGAGGGAGGAGAGAGCAGGAGTGACAATGAGGATTAAGACGAGTCGACGAGTCTAAAAAAGGAAAACACAACAGTCAGCATTTATCACAGTTTATTATGAAGTGTTTGAAACATTGTCCCAAACACATTGTGCACATTCAGAGCCCTCTGAAGCCTTTAATCACAATCTTCAACAACCATGTTGGATTTTAAATGCTGCTGAAGTACGAGACACTTCGTGCCGTTCCGTATGAACGTGAACATGATGCAGGTCAGTCAAAAGTTCAACCACTTAAATAACATCTGAAATAAATAAAGTGCCTCTGAAATGTGGGGCACATTGAATCCTGCAGATTATCTGACAGAAATGATGAACTTCACTTTAAAGTTAATAAAACAACATGTAAGTTATAATGAAGAGGCATGTTGCTGCGTGTAGTATGAATATGAACCTGCACATCATCTGACAACACCTCTTAAAGTTAACAAATAATAAAACGTCTCAAAAAAGATTCATTGCTGCTGAATTCATTTTCTAGATCAAAGTGCTGGTTTATGAGAGAACGTCTCTCCAGTTTAAAGCTCCAGTCTACTGGAGCATTACCAGTGTGCTGTCTGACAGCGCTGTAGCACCCACTAGTGGCGGGCGGCTGTATGACAGTTAAGCTGCCTCGTACATGAATAAAACACAAAGTGGTTTAACCGACCAACATTTCTGGTGCTGACTAGTGAGGGCGCGGACGTTTAATCCACGCAAATCCCTAACCACGCCAACTCTGGCGTTTGACGGCCCCTAGAGAGTGTCTGTTTGAAGAAGGTTCTACTTTGTACTAACTATTATTTTTTATTAATGGGAACACCTGAGACTAACAACGTAAAAATAAAACCACCATGTCTGAATGTTTGCTCTTAGCTCCAGTGTTTAATCACATGTGATACAAATATAAAATCAATATGTACAAACGGTTCATGATGTCATTGTTGTATTAGCAGACTCTTCAGCTGTAAATTATTTCCAGTCATTGGACGTTACGATTGATCGTAGAGATGACGGCTGAGAGATTGATATATTATAAATATTAAGTATAATGAATGAAGGTGTGACTAACTGAGTGTGTGTCTGCTGCCGCAGTGCTCAGCCAAAAATTGCCGGACTGCCTTCCACGTGACGTGCGGCCTCCACGCCAGCCTTGAAATGAACACCATCCTCACCGAGGACGACGAGGTCAAGTTCAAGTCTTACTGCCCCAAACACTCTGGGCTGGATGGCGCCGAGTCCAGAGACAGAGACTCGGGAGGCGAGGAGGAGAAGGAGAGCACCAGAGACAAGAAGGGACGGAGAAGAGGCAGAGTCAGAGGGGAGGAAGACGCCGTCTCCTCCTCTTCATCCTCCTATGTGGCTCCTCAGCACATCGACAGAACGCCCAGCGATCTGGAGGCGCTCGCCAGTCGCCAGCAGGAGAAGAGGGTCAGCCTCCGTAAGCTGAAGCTGCAGGAGATGGAGGAGGACTTCTACCAGTTTGTGGAGGTGGAGGAGGTGGCAAGTCACCTGAAGCTGCCGCCAGAGGTGGTGGACTTCCTGTATCAGTACTGGAAACTCAAACGCAAAGCCAACTTCAACCAGCCGCTCCTCACGCCCAAGAAGGACGAGGAGGACAGCCTGGCACGCCGCGAGCACGAGGTGCTGCTGCGACGCCTGCAGCTCTTCACGCACCTCCGTCAGGACCTGGAGAGGGTAGGTCTCTACCTCACTTCCTGTAGTTCACAGAGCAGCAGGGACAAGGAGGAGCAGGAAGAGGAGCAGGAAGAGGGAGTGACCAAAGAAAATACTTTTAAATAAAGTCTGACAGCAGGAAGAGAAGTTTGATCCTTTGTAGATTCAGTCACAAGTTACAGCAGCACAAGAGACAGGAAATGATGTACTCAGCACACCTCAGGGTCACCTCAGGTCAACTCAGGGTCACCTCAGGGTCACCTCAGGTCAACTCAGGGTCACCTCAGGTCAACTCAGGGTCACCTCAGGTCAACTCAGGGTCACCTCAGGGTCACCTCAGGTCAACTCAGGGTCACCTCAGGTCAACTCAGGGTCAACCCAGGGTCACCTCAGGTCAACTCAGGGTCACCTCAGGTCAACTCAGGGTC